TTTTAACTGTTATTGCGCCACCTATGGTCCAATCTCCATGAAACTTTGCATGCTTGTTAAGTGTCTTCTGACACATGTTTTCACCAAGTTTCGTAAAGTTTTGAGTTTTCGTTTAGGTTTTATAGGCTTTTGGGTATATTTGACCACGCCCCTTTTAAAATGACCCCATTATAGCTAACCAAAGACAAAATTGCACCATTTTTTTATTAATAAACTTTGCATGCTTGTTAAGAGTCATCTGACACATGTTTTCGCCACGTTTCGTAAAGTTTTGAATTTTTGTTGAGGTTTTATAGGCTTTGAGGTATATTTGACCACGCCCCTTTTATAATGACCCCGTTATAGGTAACCGAAGGACAAAATTCAACATTTTTTTGATAATTCTTCTTCTAGAGAGTCCAGATAATATTACTGCAGTGGTTTGATCGAGATTGAGCGAAAAACCTAGGACTAGTTCGCAAAAGTAGGTTTTTAACATATTTGTAAATATTTAATGAACGATTTCATTGACAGCGTTAGTCCCAGAGGCAAAGTTGTTCAGAATGCGGAGATCTATCATATGATATGAAGATCTAGTGTTTGTGTGAATATATGAACATGTTCTACAATTTGAGGTCATTTACTACAGAAATACTTTGTTTTTGAGACCGTTTTAACTGTTATAGCGCCACCTATGGTCCAATATCTATTAAACGTTGCATGCTTGTTAAGTGTCTTCTGTCACATGTTTCGTAAAGTTTTGAGTTTTCGTTTAGGTTTTATAGGCTTTTGGGTATATTTGTCCACGCCCCTTTTAAAATGACCTTATTATAGCTAAGCAAAGGACAAAATTAAACATTTTTTTGATAATTATTGATCTAGAGAGTCCAGATAATATTACTGCAGTGGTTTGATCGAGATTGAGCAAAAAACGTAGGACTAGTTCGCAAAAATAGGTTTTTAACATAATTGATAATATTTAATGAACGATTTGATTGACAGCATTAGTCACAGAGGCAAAGTTGTTTAGAATGAGGAGATCTATCATATGATATGAAGATCTTGTATTTTTGTGAATATATGTACATGTTCTACAATTTGAGGTCATTTTCTATACAAATATTGTATTTTTGAGGTCTTTTCAACTGTTATAGCGCCACCTACAGTCCGATCTCCATTAAACTTTGCATGCTTTCTAAGAGTCATCTGACACATATTTTCACCAAGTTTCGTAAAGTTCGGAGTTTTTGTTTAGGTTTTATAGGCTTTTGGGTATATTTGGCCACGCCCCTTTTAAAATGACCCCATTATAGCTAACCAAAGGACAGAAATCTAAACTTTCTGGCTTTCGTCCGGCATGACCCAAGGATTCTAAAAGTGTAAAAGTTTTGAGTCTACAACAAACGGTTTAGGAGTTATGGGCAGTTTTGCGTTTTTGATCGTTGTAGCGCCCCCCCCCTATTGTATTTTAGCGCCACCAAGTGGCAGGGCTGCGAGTTTTTGTTTGTTTTTTTGTTCAAAGATTGAGCTTGTACACGTGTGTACCGAGTTTGGTGAAGATATCTCATTCCGTTCAAGAGTTATAGCTAAAATAACATTTGACTAACGTTAGCATAGACGTTTCTTTGCACGCTGTTGCAAACGAAAATCTAAATTTCAACTTTTTTTTGATAATTATTGATATTCAGTGTCCAGAGAATATTTCTGCAGTGGTTTGGTTCCGATCGGGCGAAAAACCTAGGACTAGTTCGCAAAGTTTTGGACATAACTCAATTTTGCGGAAAAACCGTGCGTCGTAGAGTAAAATTTGCTTTTATTCGGAATGACCCAAGGATCGCAACGATGTAACATTTTTGAGTCTACGACAAATGGTGTACGAGCTACGGCCAAAAATGTCTGAAAATGTATTTTTTTGCGCTGTAGCGCCCCCCTTTGACCGATTGGGCCAGCTCTTTGCGCCTCTTTACTTCGCATTCTTGCTAAGAGTAATCTGACACATGTTTTCACCAAGTTTCGTAAATTTTGGAGTTTTCGTTCCGTTTTGGAGCGCGTCGCGTGCACACATTTCAGCATGGTGAACAGCGTCTCTTGTGTGGATTGTGCTCACAACGTTTTATCAAACATGTCCCGCAATTTAGCAACAGTAAAGACGGGATCTTGCAACAATCACCGATTGAGCTGATTCTGACGTTAAGTTTGGGTTTTAGGGAGGAACGAATGCGCACCGCTGTGAAGGGAAAGAAGTTGCGCAATACGAAACGCAGCTAGTTTTTAATAG